CGCCGAAAAGAATTGGCCCACATATGTGGTCCCTAGTCTGACCCAATAAGATAGATTTTTTTTGCGAGAAGACCCAATAATATAGATTATCAATATATTCCTTGGATATATAAGTTCATTAGTCATAAGCATTTAAGAACAGTTGATCTATGTTAGGTCACCAAATGGCCATTCATTTGGATGTAAATGCAACACATTATGAGTGAAGATCCATGGGGCAGTTGATCTATACTAGTGGCTGAGGCGCACCCTTGGCGCGCCTCCTCTACGGTACTGTGTGTACTAATCTTGCTGGAGCATTTGGTGCAGCGCAAATGAGTGCCAATTGTTAAAGAAAATACATGGAGTAGAAACTGCAGCAGCACAATATTAACTCATAAAGCATGCATGTCAATCTTAACAGAGAGGTGACAGTCTTACAAGATGAATGACTGATCAAAGAGCATGGCGAACTCTACCATCCTCTAAAAGGTGGGCGATCACCAAAAGAGAGACATAGTTCACTGGATAATCAGAGCACATGCATATTAAGTCTTAGGGAGAAACTAAATACATAGTTCATTGGGTCATCAGAGCACATGCATATTAAGTCTTAAGAGAGAAACTAAAGACCATACATGGATCATATGTATAGGCGATAGCTGCGGCTGACGGTGGTGTGTCTAGAGACAGTGCACATGAGAGAGAGGCGGCGCCCTTGCTTGTGCTTGAAAAGGAAGGTGCAGATGTCACCTTGCTGAATGTTCGGGTGGTGGCGAAACTATGATTAGTTCGTCGTGATGGTGGCCCTCTTGTCAGTTCCAAGCATGAAGCGATCGTCGTGATGGTGGTCCATCTCCAAGCTTGACTGGTAGGGTATCATCGTCTCCGTGGATGTACTCCTTCAAATTGTTCTCTGCGTATTCCACCTGAAAGTAGTACTGTTGACAAGAGGGAAAAGGAGTGAGGGCATGACAGAACACAATATCATGCCTCCATTAGTCTTCTTCCTAGTGATTCAATCTAGCACCCTAAAGGTTTGCAAAGGAATGTTGTGCATACCATCTATGCAGCCACTTCTAACCATGTCCTTCAGGGCTTCCCAAAACTTTCAAAAGCTATCCTACGCTGGTGCTTCACAAAAACTTCTCTTGTGTGGATATATGACATGGTAACTACAACACACTACTTGAATCTACACAATAATTGTAGTACATGAAATTGATAAGCAATCATTCAGGGTTAGTCCTATAGCTATGTGGTTCTCA